CGAGAGTGCATGGGAGAGGTATTTAACAACGCAACAGGTTTATTTTTCATATACTTAGCCCGGAAAAATTCTGCCCAAAATGATTTTCCTACCATCAGCTTCCACGCAAATCTCATAAATAATGCACGTTGAACTTCTCCAAAGTCCCGAATTCCTAAACCACCCTCCTCCACTGGATAACATATTTTCCTCCAGGAAACCCATTTTCGTTTCTTAGATCCATCAGTTGCGTTCCAGAGAAAAGATGAAAAAATTCGGTTCAGCTCATTATGAATTTCTTTAGGCAGATTCATGATAGAAAGAACATGAATAGGCATGCTGCTAAGGACATGTTTAATCAAGGTAATTTTTCCCCCAAAAGAGAGTAGACGTCCCTTCCATCCAGCCAGTTTCTTCTGAATTTTTTCAAGCATTGGTTCAAACAATCTGTTCAGTAATCTACTTGTGTAGAGAGGAACTCCCAGATAGGTGCATGGCAGAGCACCTTCTTTAAAACCCGAGGCAGCCAATAGTTGCCTTTTTCGTGTTGCAGTGGTATGCTTCTTTTTCGTGTTGCAGTGGTATGCGTGGAAAAAAACATACTTGATTTCATAGGACACACGGATAGGCCCGACATCAGTTCATATCTTTTTAAAATATCCATCAGTTTGACAATCGACCTTTTCCTACCATTGGCGAAAATAAGTAAATCATCAGCGTAAAATAAATGACTAACCATACCTCCTCCAGAATGAAAAGGCTGGACTTGATTACTGACATAAGCTTGATTGATCATCCTAGACAAGAGTTCTTGTGCCATGATAAACAAATATGGTGAGAGAGGATCTCCTTGACGTAACCCTCTTGATGGTTTGAAAAAACCCCGAGTATTTCCATTAATCATGATGGAGTAGTAAGGAGAAGAGATGCAATTAAATATAAGGTTTCTCCACTGATCAGAAAAGCCCAGTTTACGTAAACCCTCCAAAAGGAACCGCCAATTAACTCGATTATATGCTTTTGCCATATCTATCTTCAATAAAATGTTTCCACCCCTCACCTTTTTATTAAAACTTTGCATCATCTCCTGAGCAATAGAGATGTTATCAAAAATGCTCCTCCCCTGGGTAAAAGCTGATTGTTCACGAGAAATAATTTTGTCAAGCAATGGGGCCAGCCGAGTTACCATAATTTTGGACAGAATTTTATACACCACCGGACAGAGGCTTATCGGCCTAAACTTCGCAAAACTGGTTGGGGACTCCACCTTAGGAATCAAGACTATATTAGTAGCCCCCAAAGCACAACTTAGAGGACAGTCCCCAAAAAATTCTGTAGCCACCGCAAGGAGGTCGGACTGAACAATATCCCAAGCACTAATGAAAAAGCTCGCGCTAAAGCCATCGGGACCAAGGCTGCTATCTTTGGGGATAGACCAAAGAGCATCTTTAACCTCTTCCAACAAAGGTGGTTGACATAATCTTCTATTCTCCTCCTCAGTGATAACAGGCGTCAAGAGGTCAAAATTTGTATCGTCCAAAGAAACAGGAGAAACCGAGAATAATTCTTGAAAAAACTTCACAGCTCCCTCGTGTATTTCATCAGTAGATTTGAGCTCTGTACCGTCATCAAGAACCATGTGATCTATAATTTGACTCTTATTTTTATTCTTGACTGAGGCATGAAAAAATTTCGTATTGCCATCACCCTCTTTCAACCATTTAATACGTGACTTCTGCCTCCATAAAGTTTCCTCCCTTTCTAGCCAAACTACGTATTGATTACGACATTGCAAGAGCTGATATTCAGTGTCAACTGAGAAACTATCCATCAAAGAATTTTCCAGATGAATCAGATTATTTTCATAGGTTTTTATCTCCTGTTGTACCCTGCCAAACACCTCGTTATTCCAAGTTTTTAAAGCTATTTTCATACTCCGCAATTTACGTCCAAGGCAGACCATTGGAGAGCCAGATTCCTTTACTTCCCAGATACGTTTCACCAAAGGTAAAAATTCTTGGTGGGAGCACCACATACTGAGGAACCTAAACGGCCTGGAGAACGTCAAGTTTAAGTTCTCCTACATCGCAAAACCATCGGACAGTGATCCGACGATGTGCGTTCCAAGTAAGATAAGGTAACAGAAGGAAATTGATTTTTGAAGTTCTGATTAACCAAGATACGATCAAGGCGCGCCCATATTCGACTAGTACCTTGTCGCCCATTACACCATGATAACTTTGGTCCATCAAATGGAATGTCCATCAATCCTGTATCATGAATAAATTTGTTGAACTCCCTTCTGGCCATTAATGAAGAGGACAGCCCGCCTATTTTTTCATCAGAAGAACGAATAGTATTGAAATCACCTCCCACAACCCATCCATAATCACCAATATCCAAGCTTTTCAATTTATCCCACAATTCCCTCCGCCTTCTCTGACAACAACTAGCGTAAACGAAAGAAGAAAACACCCGGGCATCGCCCACTGCAAACCATC